ATACATCTCTTTCGCGATGAGATGTGAGAGATGAAAGCGGTGACAGACGAACGGACGGGGGGCCCTTTGCCGAGATCTCGTCGTCTCCGATGAGAAACACTATCCTCGAGACAGGATACTCTGTATAAGAAGAAATCGTTGATGGTAAGCGATACGCGCGAGTTTCCTGGACGCACGTATGCGTAAGACTTCTCTTGTTCTCGTACGGTACGTTATGCCGGTTTATGAGCCCCGTATCGACCGACACACATATATATATCGATCGCGTATAGATGCGCGCGCGCACACGGGGGCCCGACGTTATATCGAGACGACGCGGCAATATCGACTTACATTACACGACCGAACGAGCATCTATCTCGGTGGGAACCGAAGCCCCACGGCTTCTTGAGTTCTTCTTCTTAACGGCTATGATCTCGGGATCCTCTGAATCCCGCGCACGCCACGTCGATCGGCCGATCGGGCGAAGGACGAAGTCGACGAGCTGGAACCGTCCGTCGTTCGCTTGAAGGCGCGTCGAACTCGCCGAGATCGCGTCGCGTCCCTCCAGCCTCGATCGCGATCTCATCATTTGGCGACGCGTCGTCCGGCTTGGAGGAAAATTCGCGTCGTCTGACGCAGGAAAACCCCCGTGCCTGATCAGCCAGGTGATCAGGAAAAAAATATAAATTTACATTCGCGCCGCTGTAGTAATTGCAGATTTGCTTGCGCAATCATCAGCGCGCGTGTCTCGTACCGTCACGTGTCACAATCATCCCAATTGGATTCCGACCGACTAATTGTCTAGCGGCTTCAGGACGGTCAAACGGATGATTTTCGTGTCGCAATGTCGCGCCGGTTGAAAAATGTGACCACGACAATTTAATATCAAAACGCCACTGCGCTGCAGCTCGCGAGTATCAAGGTCGACAGTCACGATCGCCTCGGCCGACTTCCTTTTCTCGGCGCGAAGAAGAAATCTCTGAACGATCTTAAGTGTCGGTAGCCAGAAGATGAGGTCGATCGAACCGCTGGGTAGCGGTAGCACCGGCCGAAAGGGTCGAGGGAAGCTGGTGAAACGTGAGGGGGGAGAGCGGGGGCGATGGCTAGATGGGAGGGAAACCGAGAAACGACGAAATGACGGCGGTCGATGGACGGTTCGTTAAGTAGATGGCTGGTCGGGGGACTAAGCACCAAAACCACCTCACTGTGGTTTCACACCCGCGAAGTAAGAGAGAGAGAGAGAGAGAGAGGAAGAGAGAGGATAAGACAAAGTGAGAAAGAGAGACGTTGGATGGCAGTAAACAACTCGGAGTTCCTTCGGTCAGGACTCGTGCGTTCTTTCGGCGACGACGACGAGTTGTGACTTCTGCAATGAACCTTGAAGAAGAAGGAGAAGAAGTCGCCTCCTGAGAATCGGTCACCCGACGACGAGGCGAGCATTGGCGTGACGACGACAGTCAGCTGCGCGATGAATGTCGCGTCGAGCACGACGACCGGTAAAATAGAGAAGCGTGGCATTGATTGTTGGATTATTAACGGATAACGATCGTGACCGCTTCCGACTTGTTTGCCCCTGCTTTTGTCACCGGACATTACTTCTTCTTCGACGAGACGGATCTTGAGCGTCGCGCGGTCATCGTCGAGTTATGTGGTGCAGACGGAGGAGCGAGCGTCATTATCGATGCAAAGATAAGCACTGAAGATGCGAATGACGTAGCTAAATTATCTAGCTTATCTGTGGTTTAATTTACAATACGGTAAATAGTCCAATCCGCCGAGATATATCAACAATATTGCGACGCGCGGATTTTTTTTCTCTACCGGCATAACTGATAGCGTGCGTCTGTCTAGGCCGCAAAGTCCAATATCCGACTGATGATTGGCCAATGCGATTACCATATTTCCCGAGACCGAATTCCGGACTCCCAATGATTAGGTCGGGCCATTATCTATTACATTGTTGTACCGGCGGTCTGTAGGAACGCGGCTTGAAAGAAGCCTACGAAAGAATACATTCAGCCACATTGTATTCGGAATAGCGTTAATTGGAACCTGCCGCGTTCACATTCGAGACTTCTCTAAATAGTTCAGGGCGTATGGTCACCGTGCTAATAAAGCATCGCTGAGCGAAGAACAAATAGAAGAAAAAGTAGTAGACGACAGCGACGAAGTAGAAGAAGAAGAAGATGACGATGACGACGACGACGACGACGACGACGACGAGGAGGAGGAGGACAAAAAAGCGATCCTTCTCTCCTGAATGGAATCGAACGCCACTTTCTTTTTACTCGCTCATCCGCTCATAGAGCGAGAACCGTTCGGGAGAAACGGACTATTATCCAACAGATGGTCCTGCCGACACCGATCCACGATCCGAGAGTGATGTGTGCCTTTGTTTTGTTACCGTTGTTCCGGTAATTGCGGCAAATACACGGCCATTTTCGGTAATCACCCTGTGCGCCTCCCGCCCTGCTTGGTCGTCCTGCCATGGCGGTCCCCTTTGAGAATTCCGAAACGACCTCGACCTTCCGCTCGGTAGGCGTAACGACAGTTTTGCCTGGAGACCGCTCGGTCCCGACCTCGACCTTACCTCGTGGTGGGCCGAGCTCGGCTGTTTCAACGATACCCCAAAACTGTATCGGTTGTACTCATCGTTGCGCGTGTCAATGACTCGAATTGGTCGAGCCCGCAGCTGATAACTGTGTCCTGGTAGCTGTGTCTAGTACGGAGAAACTAAACGCGGTCGCGGCATTTGATACGATTTACAAGTTGCAAGTGAACGCCGTATACCAAACCGGTAACAATATTCTACAGTTTGTATACTGCGACTCGTGCGCGAAATGGTAGGGAATATTTTACATATATATATATATATATATATATATATATATATATATATATATATAGAGAGAGAGAGAGAGAGAGAGAGAGAGAGAGGAATTCCCCTGGAGTTTGCACGCGAAAGAGGTAATTCCGATGAGTTTCGCGTTAATTTTCCCCGAAGCTGCGGACGAGACGTTAGCAGCGGCAGGGTATAATTATTAGTGGAGAACACGTGTTGTGAATAAAAATTCTATCAATAGTCACGCAGAGCAACCTGTTTCGAAATCTCGTCCAGATAAGAACTCTTGCAAAAAGGCGACTTATGAGTCGGCCAACTTCTACAGGGGAATCCTGACGTCTCTGAGGCTCTTCGGGATATTTCCAATATTGCTAATGCTTTCTTTGAAATCTGAAAACTTAAAAATTCTCGAACATGATTCACTTGCGCATTCATTTCGTAAGAATCGTCGACAAATCACGGGGTGTGACAATAACTAGAATAATTCTCAAAGTCGAGATTGTAATAAACTCTCTCATGCGAATCGAACCTTGTGTCATCGGCCTATCTCTTTCCGTATGTATACTGTGAAGATCATTAACGCTCGGGTTTTCCAACAGCTCTTTCCACTTAAGAAATGCTCGTATCGTCACGTACGCATTTTTGCTCATCTGTATTGGATCACTCGCATGAGTGATCATCATCCGAATAAATGCGAAGAGCGTGAGCCAATAGGCAATCTTTCGAGAACGAGGGATACATACAAAAATATTAAAGATTACAATAAAAATTGAATTTGAACGCAAAGATGTGTATAAAATAATAAGTAAGAGAATTCTATTTGTACAAGTATAATTACACTAGAGAAAAACACTTGAAAATTGATTTATAGGAAATAAAGTTTACTTCTGAGAAACACAATTTATTTCTGTGAAATAAAGTTTATTTCTGTGAAGCAAACTGTATTTCTGTGAAATAAACTTTATATTTCACAGATAAATTTTTATGTATTTTTTCTCAGTGAACGTCGATAGAATTCGGAAATGCTTGGTCCAAATAAAAAAGGATCGTACAAGTATGCGCATATATTTTGATTAAAGGATATGCCTCATCTTTTTATACATAGCACAGCGGAATCAAAAAACTTCCTCGAATTGCGTATGATTCAACGCATCATCGCCACTATCTCTTTCTTTCTCCTTGTGTCTCTCTCCGCCGATTACGCATGACATCTTTCTCCTCGTGAATGATGCCATACGTAATCCGCAGAAACAGAAGCGCGATGTTTTTATTTCCTACGCTGGTAATAAGGATCGGAAATAATATTACTAACACTTCCTACAAATATAGCTGACCGTTGATGCGAGGAATCGTGATTTGAGTTTCTTTCGCGGAAACGCGAGCTGTTCAGAAAGCTAAAGAGTAGGCACGACGCGAGTTTGCAATTATAAGGCTCGGCACGCGGTAAGAAGATTTCTATCAGGACGAGAGAGGAAGAAAGACACGAGAGCATCTTCAATAAATCAAATCGTACGATGAAGAAATCCATTTGTGCAAGATCCGGGAGAAAGATGCGATTTTGAGAGTCGCGGGCTCGACCGCACACGTTGAAACTTTTATCTGCGTTACTCTTGCGCGCTCCCACTTTTACCTCCGTTACTCACACAATCGTTCGCCGCTCCATACGATGATCCCGATCTCGTCGCGACGCGACACGTTCTACGTGCATCACACACCAGACAGGCTTCTCTCGACGCAAATACGCTTACCTCCAGCGAGCGTTCGAACTTCCGTCGTGCCTGCTACTACTTGTGACTCATGTGACTTATTAATGTGACTGTCGGTGTTACTCACTCGAAACACCGTTACCGACTCATATGATCTGCTGCGCATTTTAAGAAGCGCTTCGCGGCGCACGACTGTAACGCGACTGTCCCTTTCGAATCCTCGCATGCCGTGCGACGGGATTCCTCATAGAGATCATTTAAATTGCGAGTACATAAATTTTCTTCCTCGGACATACGAAAATTCTTACAAATAACACAACAAAAACTCGCACCCGAGCGCGACATTTAATTGGAAATGAACGGAGATGAAAGAGAAACCTTGCCTCGTGGAATACTCTCATATGTCGCGAACCTACGCAAACGATCGAATGGAGATAAACCGAGAACGGATTATCTTTTTGCTGTTACAGACACGGGTGTCGGTAGCACGGAATGGGCTTACCCGTCCACAGCGCCGTCTTATCCTGCGCCTCCAGTCAGCAGCGGTGGTTCCTACTCGCCTCTACCCGGCGGCGCGTTCTCGTATCCCGGGGAGTCATTGTCGCATCATCCCACGACGGAACCGGTGCCGCTGCCAACCGGTACGAACAGTTAATGGCAAGCAGATGATAAAAAGAAATGAATAAAATTCGTGTCGCTAATGAGACGACGCGATTTGTTGCTAATTGAGAAACACCTAGAACGATTTAATAATATTCTGACGCATAGATCGTACCAGGAAAAAGTTTCGTAACGCGTCACCTTGCGTGCGCCCGTACCACTTATATCCACTTCGGAAAATTATATTACAATCGATGTATCAGACACGAAGACTCGTTTTACAAAATCGTTTTGCCAGTAATTAATCGCGCAGGTAGAGATTATCAAAACGTGTCCCGCTTTGAAAAAATTGCCTCGAAGAGGATATATCAGTATTATGAAATTCCTGTAACCGCAATTATTCTCATAATGCATTTGGCACAAATTCGTTCTTTGCACCATAAGAAGTTAACAATTGTTTTCGCTCGAAGGGTCGACGAATCGGCACAATCGGATTATTGTGTTCTGCTTGCAGTGCTACCCTCGGAGAATCAGCAAGACACCTACACGCCAAACTGCATGTCCATGTATTCAGGACATGGCACTTCGCCGACGTCTTTACCCTTGGTGCCGGCCAGACCCAGCGACCCCGACATCTTCGCCGGGAGCGGCACGGGCAGCGGCAGCCCGGGTTACCACTACGGCTCGTGGACACCTGGCCCCGCTACTCCGGTCCCAGTGGCCTCCCACAATTACAACCCCAATTATCAAGGCTACTACAACAATCCGAGTCAGAATTACATCAGTCCGCCGCCCATGGTCCTCTACCCTCAGCTATATAGCACTGTGAATCAAAACCAGATACACCTGCACCTGCATGGTGACATCAGCGAGGAACAGGTCACCATAGCCGGCAGCAATCTTACCATCAGTAGCATCCGAGAGATCGGCGTGCTCGGCGAGGAGAGCGAGCAGAGGAACGACGTGTGGAGGCCGTACTAGAGAGAAAGAGAGATAGGGAGATCCCCGCTGCAGTGCGATCGAAACCGTCGCCGATGAGTGCCGTGCATGAATCACAGTGCGCGAGCTTTCGATTGTGGCAATGTAAGTAGTCCGTAGTTAGTGCTGTGACAATGTATAAGCGTTGACTCTCGGGAACGGAGGTAGCGAGTTGTGCGATTTTTTGACAGAAAAAATGTGCGCGAGATCGTCGTCGGGACTCTCCCAACCGTCTGTTGTCGCGCGAATTATCGCGGCTGCGAGTAAAAGCCGCTGGAGTGAACGATATCCGATGTTTCGCAATAATGATGGTGAACGTAAATGAGAATTGTGAGGCCGTATGTCGCGAGTGTGCAACAAAATGATGTCGAACTTTGTCGAAAAAAATAAAAAAAGAGAAAAGAGACTCATCGACTTGTGAAAAGTGTTGAGGAGCAATGGGGATCTCATTAATCGAAACGTGAAACTGATCACAGTGACGGTTCTTCGGGTGTACGCGAATTAAAGTGGTACTCTCATCTTGTCACGGCGGACGTTCGTTCCATTCCGCAATTGTAAATCGTACCATAGAAGTGTCATTTGATTCTCGACCAGCGAAAAAAAATTAGTCAGACGCTGTAACGTTGTAAATACACAGATATTTTCAGAAACGAAATAAAATCTTGCCTAACAGGTTCCTAAATCCCTTCTCTTGACGTTTCAAAAAATAGGAAAAAAATACAGCGCGAATATGGAAGGCAACAGAACGAATTTTGAAAAAAAAAAAAGAACTATTTCTCTCGCATACAAAATGCAATAAGTGAATAAAATTTTTAAACTCTTCCACGAAACTGAGATTGATACGAGAGAAACAGAGAGAAGAGAGGGAGAGAGGAATCAATAAATTAGACTGACGATAAATTAGACTTTCTCTCTCATCACCGACAGAAAAAAGATCTTCGTTCATGTCATGAAAGAGTGGACCGTGGCAACGCCGTTGTCTCTTTCGTCGCGGGGGAACGGGTAACCCTTTTTACGAGCGCAGCGAGCTCTATTTAATATTTAAAGCACGCTGGAAATGACGAACGGATGGATAGTTGCGGTTTAGCCAGTCGCGACATCGTCGACTCGTCGTTCCTGCGTCCCTTTATTAGCGAGTCACCCTGTCCTGTTCCGTGCGCGACAAAATCTTTAAACCTGTCTCGCTTAAAATTGCATTTTGCGTAATAATCCATTTATTTTGCCTGGTAGAAACAATTACAATCGACGCTAAATCGTGGAAATTACAATCAAAACAGTTTTAACAACGCGTTTAAAGCTGCCGTTTGAATATTACAAAAGCGGCGAAGAATATATTCGGTGGATTCCACTTTTTTCACTATAGTTTTGCAATTTATCTTTAATTTAGTAAACACAATGTGTGAATATTAAATGGTAAAAATACGTCGGAGACAATGCGCAACGAGGATCAGCAGTCATGTTTGATAGGAAGTAATAGTGGACCGTTCAGACGTATGTTAGAAATTACCGCGTGACTAAGAATTTAATAAGCAGGTCAACGCCGTTGCGTTTACAACGACGAAGTAATCTCCGTAAATCGTAACTGACATCAACGTTATAATAAGAGGTTGAAAATGCCGAATGTCTACTTTCCAGTTACAAGTGACTCTCTCGCTCACTCCTTTAATAATCACATCATTTGTTTCTATAAATAACTACGAAGGAGGGCGTCCAAGAAGTAGCCCAAGACAAAAAGAAAACCAGCGATGTCTCGTAATTAGAGAGTAACTGTTCGTCGGTATGACTGCATTTACAAAGAGTAACTGTTCGGGAACGTCTCGCAACTCTTGTTCGTTGAATGCTCGAGGCATGAAAATGTTCATAAATTAACAGCCGGTATCATGCATCTCTCTCTGTCGCTTCGCCTATGAGCAGTTCAAGCGGAATCGAATGAGCCGACTGCTACGTAGGGAATCGCGGATAACGACCGCGACTGACGAAAAATTCTCTCGACGAGTTCACACTTCGAAGAGAGATCTCTCCCGGCTGTTCTTCTCCCATTTGTCCCTCTCCCGCGAATGTTTACAACCCCGACGCATCCTGCGAATGGGACGCCACGAATAAAACCACGGAATAAGCCGAGGCGGCCGTCGCTCGTAAGCTTCTCTCTTTACGAGGATGAGTCGACTCGCAGTCGACCGCAGACGAGAGAGTCTCCCGCCCTTTCCTGCGTCCGTTAAGACGAACTGAAATACGTTTCGTCTCGCAGGAAACGGTCGACATCTTCGGTACCATCCGAGCATGGCCGGTGAGAATAAATCGCGCGCGGTTTTCGCGTCCTCGATCGAGAAACGCAGTCTTCCTCTCGAACACATGGCCGACGGAACACTATCCTCCCACGAGGATCCTGCACGTCGGACTAAGTAAAACGATCAACGACTAATGGAAAGAAATCATGTCGAAAAGTAAAAACTGAATAAATTTACGTACATATTGTTTGCATACGGTTTAAATTGTCTTTTCTAGATTGCTTTCAGAACATAATCTACGAGTCATAGTCCAACGAGAGAACTCCAGGGAATTCATCAAAAGCAAGTTCTCTCATCGGACTATCAGCTATATTCTGAAATGTATCGAGAAGAAAGGGTTTTAATTGTATTGAAACAAAGTGTATTCTATTACCAACGGTCTGTTTCTTTTTCTCTCTTTTCCAAAAATAGCACTCGGATATTAGAATTCATTTATTAATGTTCATACATCTCTCGTCGGATACATGTCATTTGAACTGCCATATATACTGTGTGTTTCTCGCATTTAGTCCTAGACGCGCTTTTCAGCTGTATTGTTCCGCACGAAAACGGGTCTTCCCCCGTCAGATTCGCATTCACTCTACTTCTCACACATATAGACGCATCTTTTTGGGGAAAAACAGGGGCTACATAGGCACGTTTTATTATCAATTATTAATCCCTCCGTTATACTTTTAAACCATCTGATGCTCAACAACATTTACAACATTTATGGAATGCACCGTATATCGGGAAACATCGGGTATAATATTTGATATATACATCAACGTTCAATTATTTGTCTCTACTTTGATTACGAAACGGGATATATAAATATAAATGAAATCTCAACAAACAATACAGAACTACTGAGAAACGTAACGGCAAATCATTACTGCATTCGCCTAGTAAATCAGACACACGTCAACGTATATATATATACATATATTGACTAGTTATATACAATAAAATATGGTACCAATCGCAAGGAACGTAATCCTTTTCTAATTTCCGGCCGAGAGATCCTCCGTTCTATCCTTTTGTCTACGAAAGAATAATTACCCGATAAATAATGGCGATGAGATCTACCCCGCTAGCGACGGAAGCTGCGTAAAAAATGACGTTCCACTCCTAGAGATCATGTTCCTTTTTTTCTCTCTTTCTTCTTTTTTGGCAAGTGTGTACAAAGAGAAGCGCGCCGATAACACCCGCACGGCGGGATGCGTCGCGCTCGCCGCGTCCGCGTTCTCAAGCTTTGCGTTGGAAGCAAAAATCCGGTACACCCGGCACTACGACCGGACCGCAAACTACAGTTAAGCGCAAGGAGCATAAAATGAGAATCGAGAGATGTGCGTGCGGAGTGGATCGTAAATAAAATCCTTGTCTCTTCGTGTCGACGCGTCGGCATGCGCCGACGAAAAAATGGGGATTCCGCGCGCGAAAACGGGACGTCACGTTTTTTTCCTCCCAAGCGCGAATCGAAGGAATCGCGTTCGACCTCGAGTCAAGCGAGTCTCTATTTGATCAGCGATCGCGAATAAAATATGTACCGGTTAAACAATGAATTCTCCTCCTTCTTCTTCTTCATCTTCTCGTTTCTCCCACGGACTTTACATTCACATCACAGCAGCAATTAAGAACTTGGAAAGAATATGTCGGACATATCAAATTGTTTCTCGTCCTCGCGCTTCTTCGCACGAAGATCAACTCGCAACTAAAGCTGCGATCGCGCGTACGTATCGAAATGATACTCGATCGCTATTAATTATTTGTCAATCCGTAAAGCACGGCGATACGGTGAAACAAAGCTGACAGACGTTGCTTCAGACCACGATCTACGGCATGCCTGGTCAGCATTCTCACACCACTCACGAAAACCGGAAGCAGCGGCGCCAGTTGCTCGTCCTGCAAGAAGATCATTCAGCTTTAGTAAACGAATTCTAAAATTCAACTCTTAATGTAACAATAATCAATACGTTTTCGTAATACTGATGTTCGATTAATCACAAATTTAACGATATTATTTTAGTAGATATTATTTTAGTAGATATTATTTCGTAGTACTGATGTTCGATTAATCACAAATTTAACGATATTATTTTAGAAGCTAAACTTCTTCCAAAGCAGTTCTCGCTTAAAAATCTCAGAGTTGATACCAAAATAATATATTTCACGCCAAAAATTACACGAAAATGACAAAGTGAAATACGAGAACTCACTGGTAAAGTTAAGGCCCATTCCAGCGCGGTGCTTAAAGTGTCCGCCCAAGCTTTCCTGTGGGCCTCGCTGTCCTTGTTAACATTTCTCCTCTGGAACTCCGCTTCTTGACTGGCGACCTGCTGACTCTCGGTTGCGAATTTCTCTTCCTCGTCGCGTAAAAAGGGATTTGTCCTGAAGCCTCGCTTGCTACGCTCATAGTCGCGCAACAGTTCGTCGATATTGTCGAGGATCTGCGAGGACTTCGAATTCTTCTTGTCCTCCGATTTGACACTCTCCGGCTCGCAAGGCTCGTTCGCAGGCTCAGATGTTGTCCAAGCTGACACGCTTCGCAGTTCCATCAGTGAGCGCGATCGCATATCGGCTGAGTCGAATATAGAAGAGTCATTCGCGTTCTCGAGGTCCGTCGCCTTAAAGACACTCAAGGACAGGATTACGTCACTGCCGCGTCTTCTCGGATATGATTTCTGGTACAAAAAGTCTTCGTCGAAGAACGCGTTTCGATCCAGCGCCTTGACGTTCGCCGTGGAGGTCCTCGAGGTATCGGTCGACTCCGTCTTCCAGAGCGAATCCAAGTTATAGCAGAGATCGTCACGACTGTATATTATCTTGGGCGGCGCTGGGGTCATAGAATCGAATTTGGGGTCAATGTAGTCCTCGCTCGAAGTTCCGCCAGAGCGGTCAGGGTAAACGATCTTCTCCGTGACCGATCCGAGCCTGGATACCGGTCTGGAGTCGTCCGTTTCCGGCTCAGACTGCGGACCGGAATCGGTAGAGTACTCTGCGGCGAGATCCGACAGCCTGAAGGGTCTCGGATCGTTCTCGCTCTCAGCTCCGAGCTCCTCCAAGCCGCTCTCGTCGTCCAAGTTCGGATTATACACGTCGACGTCGTCTTGTTCGTCCTGATCGTCTTCTTCGTCGTCCATGCGATCCTCGCGAACGTTAGAGTTCTGTTGGGGTTGCTGCATGACAGACGCCGGAGTACTTGTGACAACCCGATCGTCGATGGGCTCTTTTCTAGTGATCTCTGGATAATCATCAGGTTGTGCCACCAATAGGAATATCTTCCTCTCCGAGAAACTGTCAACCTTGGTGTATCTGCCACCTTCGTCGAGAACCACCTCGACATAAGTCTCGCAGAGCTCGTCGAAGGTCGTGCGAAGTTGCCTGAGATACTTAGTGAGCTTGCGGTGCTTC